TTTCCTATATCTGTTTCAAATCGTACAATTTGTAGGTTATATCATCTTACATTACAAGTATAACAAATCGCTTAAACTAGCCTATTTGAAAAAAAAAATGAATGAAAGTTTACGGCAGAGGGGTAAAATGTAAAGTAAGAAGGAGAACTGCAGCAAATGGAAAGCTACTAATCGAAAAGTCATTTAATCTAATTTCGCGCTCATCTGAAAATGGGAGCTAACGCTTGGAGGTCATGCGCACTCGCCAAAAAACCGTAGTTGTAAATGAAATGGTTTCTGATAGCAAAACTTATATGCTAGTGAAAGAGAACAAGAAACGAACAGAAAACACTCTCCTCCTCGTTTAAGTTAAACACAGGCTTACGTACTCTACTGCTAGGCTACATTCGTGGTTTTACCAGTTACACAGGAATGAGGCTCCGCCAAAGAGTATATGTATTATTATCATGAAAATAACAAAGTACATTTCTATTGGCTATCAAATTATCCCTCTAAAGGCCTCCAAATGTTATAACTCTTTCAGCTGATCACTGCAAATATTTCCCGACGATATATAATAATATTGATAGCAGAAAATAAAGAGCGATAGCAAATATAATATGACAAAGAGAACAAATTGCAATATGAATAAAACTACTAACTTGAATAGGTTCGCCAATCTTTCTACAACGACTTTCGAACGTTCATCCGCTGCAACAGCGGGATCAACAACGCTCCAGTCCCAAATAAGAGTTTTTAAGCGAGGGAACCTTAAGAAAACCTACAGAAAGCAAGCGATAAAAAGAAACCATAGCACAATATCACCTACTTTGTTTCAATGCAACTGATCAGATCTTCTGCATCGCGATCATCCGTGTAGTCCAATTCTTGGATAACCAGTGTCGAGACAGTGACAAACGTAGCGGAACAACTCTGGAAGAAACAAATCCTTAATAGCTTTGTTGAGGAAGCATTTGATAGAAAATGGAGCTATGAAGGCAAAGACAGTAGCGTCTCATAGAGAGATATAACATACCTTCAGAGAATTGACTTTGAGCCCAGGAAATGTCGCTAACTTTACAAGTTCCACATTCATTTTATCCAGGACTGGGTCTAGTATGTCTCGACTAATCTCCATAGCGCGGATATTTAACCTTTGAAACTCCGGCAGCAATCGTATCCATTCCCTCTTAGAAAACTCTAACTCAGAGAATGAAAATCCTTCAAGCAGCTTGAGTCTGAATGGCTGCAAACAGCATTCTACAGACACCTTCTATATAAATCAAATTCTTACTTTTGCAACAAGAAAATCAGATCATCTACTGTGATGTCGGCTCTATCCAGGGAAAGCAACTTCAGTCTCGCAAAAAATTCCTCCACCTTGAATGAATCAATAAGAAATGGGTTGTGTTTATGATCTTATGAGCCCACCTTATCGTCCTCAATGCTTTTAAGTGCTGTAATCAAATCCTTTAACGGATTTCTGGGATGTGTAATCTCAACTACTGTAGGTCGAAGACTCATTACAATGTCCCAATTTACATCCAATACATCTCCGGAGTAATCGGGGATACCTGAATGCGATAACTATACTATATTGAAAAAACATTGATTTTATAGATTAGTAGAATGACGTCAAAAGCTAGAAGAAATTGACAGCTGGAATGACTAATACGCAAAACTCTTGCAAAAAGACTTATTTTCATAAATAAT